GAAACTCGGGTTCTCCTTGCAGAAGGAGTTGGCAACGGACCTGATCCTGCAGTCGCTCCCTGAGCTGTATAAGGGTTTTGTCATGAACTACATGATGCATGATCTTGACAAACCCCTTCCGGAGCTTCTTAAAATGCTCCAGACTGCAGAGGAGAACCTTACTAAGGGCAAGGGTGCTTCCGTCCTTATGGTCCAAGGCGGAAAGGGGAAGCCGAAGAAGGGGATTAAGATTAAGGCTAGGACGGTCGGAAAGCCTAAATCGAAGTCCACTTCATCTGCAACCCAGAAACCCATAGGAGGAGTTGCAAAGGGCAAATGCCATCACTGTGGTATGGCAGGCCACTGGAGAAGAAACTGCAAGACATACCTCGCAACCAAGAAGAAGGAAGGTACGACCATTTCTTCTGAGGTGTATGTTATAGAAGTTAACATGTCTATATCTTTATCATGGGTACTAGATACTGGATGTGGGTCTCATATCTGTACTACCATGCAGGGACTGAAGCAGAGTAGACGGTTAGCTCGAGGCGAGATTGAACTCCGAGTCGGCAATGGTGCACCTGTTGCAGCTTTGGCAATCGGAACTTATAGTTTAGTCTTGCCTAGTGCTCTAATGTTGGAATTAAACGATTGCTTGTACGTTCCTGCAATTAGCAGAAACATTATTTCTATTTCATGTCTTGGTAAGAGTGGTTTCATCATTTCTATTAAAGACAAGTCCATTTCCGTTTACAGAAAGAATGTTTTCTATGCTAATGCCAACATGACCAATGGGTTATATGTCCTTGACTTGGACATGCCAATCTATAACATATCAGCCAAGAGGAACAAACCAAACGGTTTGAACCAAATATACCTATGGCATTGTAGGTTAGGCCATATAAACGAGAAACGCATATCCAAGCTACATCGGTCGGGAATGCTGGAGTCATTTGATCTTGAATCATATGACACATGCGAATCTTGTTTATTGGGTAAGATGACCAAATATCCTTTCACCGGACAAGGTGAAAGAGCTGGTGATCTTCTAGCACTCATTCATAGTGATGTGTGCGGGCCTTTCAATACAACTGCACGAGGTGGTTATTCATAGTTCATTACATTTACTGATGACCTCAGTAGATATGGCTATGTGTATCTCATGAAACACAAGTCAGAATCCTTTGAAATGTTCAAAGAATTCAGGAATGAAGTTGAAAAACAACTTGGCAAAAGTATTAAAACACTACGATCCGATCGAGGTGGAGAATACTTAAGTGGTGAGTTCGATGACTATCTTAGATAGCATGGGATTTTATCCCAACTCACACCTCCTGGGACTCCCTAATGGAATGGTGTCTCTGAAAGGAGGAATCGAACCCTGCTTGACATGGTTCGTTCTATGATGGGTCATTCGACTCAACCAGAATCATTCTGGGGGTATGCGCTGAGCACTGCAATATATACTCTTAACCGACTTCCAACCATGGCGGTTGAAGGAACACCATACTAGCTATGGACGGGCAAATGCCCGGTTCTGTCACACTTAAAGATTTGGGGCTGTGAGGCTTATGTCAAACGTCTTATGACGAATGGCAAGCTTGACGCCAAGTCTGATAAGTGTTTCTTCGTGGGATACCCAAAGGAAACTCGAGGGTATTCATTCTATCACCCTATCGATAAGAAGGTATTCGTTGCTCGCAATGGTGT